ACGCTAACCGGGGCCGCAGAGACCCAGGAGTAGACATTGATACAACCTTTCTTGAGGCTATCCGGCAATAATGATCAAAAGTCTTAAATCTTTGGCAGAATCTTTGACTCAGGATGTGAGGTCTGTATTTGCTGCTGTAACAAATGATCCCAAGCCTTGTATTTTAAACCGATAAAAATGCATTAACTTTCCAGCCTAGAGATCAGAGAGTCCTGGGCTGAAATTAAGGTGGGGCTGGGCAGGCCTGCATTTCCTTCTACAGGCTCTGGGGAAGAAGACTGTTTCCTCACTTTTCCAGCTTCTCGAGGCTGCCCACCTTAGTTGTGGCTGCTTTCCTCCTTCTTCAAAGCCAGTGAGTTTTTCTCACATTGTATGGCTCTGATCCTGGCCCCCTTACCTCCTTCGTCTACTTTAAAGGACCACGTGATTACACCCTGCAATCTAAAAGGATCTCCTTAACTTAAGGTCACCGGAGAGGCAAGTTTAATTCCATCTACTCCCAAATCCACAAATTCCGGGGATTATGAGGTGGACATCTTTTGGAGGCTATTATCAGCCTACCATATCCAGACATCCTAGGTATTTATTATCAAGAAAAGAAGTATGAACATATAACAGTAGGGACTGATGCATCCCTGGGCTTTCATTAAAAATAGTGGTGGACGAGACACAGTCAGCAACTTACAAAAGGTGGTTACATTGTAGCTCGACTTACAATATCTTGACCTACAAGATGATCTTTGTCTATCTAGAATATAGATATAAGCTAGAAAGATATACTCGAAAATTATTATTTTTTAAAAGATTTTTATTTATTTGATAGAGAGATCACAAGTAGGCAGAGAGGCAGGCAGAAAGAGAGAGGGTGAAGCAGATTCCCTGTCGAGCAGAGAGCCCAATGTGGAGTTTGATCCCAGGACCCTGAGATCATGACCTGAGCGGAAGGCAGAGGCTCAACCCACTGAGCCACCCAGGCGCCCCTCGAAAATTATTTTTAGCTCATTACTTGTCCTTGTCATATTGCTTTCCTTGGCCTTCAATATTGAATAAATATAGCGATTATCCTCAATCTCTCTCCTTAAACCAACTTGGGTTTTTAAAATTTTTTAAAATTTTTTATTAACATATAATGTATTATTTGCACCAGGGGTACAAATCATCAGGCTTTGTAAATCGTCAGGCTTATACACTTTATAGCACTCACCATAGCACATACCCTCCCCAATGTCCATAACCCAACCACCCTCTCCCTACCCCCTCCCCCTGGTAACCCTCAGTTTGTTTTGTGAGATTAAGAGTCTCTTATGACCTTAAACCAACTTTTAAAAAAGTATATTGAGTACTTACTGTGAGTCAGAGAGCTCTTACAATGGGATATATGTGATTTTTATTTTCTTAATTTTATTTATATCTTCTAAAATCTCTAAACATCTTATTTCTGTGATAAGAAAGTTAACTTTTTTTTAAAGCACATGAGCTTTTGAGATTCAGGTAAATACGCACTTTTTAAAAAAAGATTTTATTTATTTATTTGACAGAGAGAGAGAGCAGCAGGGGCAGAGGGACAGGGAGAAGCAGGCTTTCCGCTGAGCAGGGATCCGGACGTGGGGCTCGATCCCAGGACCCCAAGATCATGACCTGAGCCAAAGGCAGAGGCTTAACCAACTGAACCACGCAGATGCCCGAAATATGCACTTCCACTCATGGTCAGACCTAGGATCCCACCTCCAACAGACCCACCAATTAAGCATCAGCTCCTTCTCCATGAAATCTTCTCTGGTGAGCAGGGATCATCTCTGCTCCCTTTTATTTCTCCCCATCCCAGCTGCCGGGAGCAGGCCTGGTTCTATAAGCCCTCGTGGAACCGAGGTTCCCAACCGGGATCCTATTTACCCCTCATTCCCCGCTCTGAGTTAGCATCACAGCATTGATCTCTATGACCATGGAAATTATTTCTTTTCTAGCCGTATCCCTTTGGGGTAATGAGTTCTGTCCTCTTGGGGTTAACTGGCGTTTCCTTGGGTGAGTTTCCACGCCGCCATGGGCCTGGAGCTCTCTCTTGCTCGAGGGCTGAGCTTTGGAAAGAGGCTATGCCTCTCCTTCCCCACTCTGCCACGCCTGTACCACCCCGGCCCCCAGCCCCAGGACTGGCAAAGGTAGCAACAACCTAAGGGCAACAGCAGTAATAATAATAATAATAATAATAATGCCAAACTCGCGGGAATTCTTTGGGTTGGTCCCTTTATTTATTTATTTTTTAAAATATTTTATTTATTTATTTGACCAACAGAAATCACAAGCAGAGAGAGAGGAGGAAGCAGGTTCCCCACTGAGCAGACAGCCCAATGCAGGGCTCGATCCTGGGACCCCGGGACCACGACCCGAGCCGAAGGCAGAGCTCCAACCCACTGAGCCACCCAGGCGCCCCTGGGTTGGTCCCTTTATGATCCCCATGTACAGATGATGGACCAGCCTTGGAGGGAACCAGTAAGTGACCTCCCCAAGGCCACAGCTCGTAAGTGGCAGGAAAACATCCAAACCCATGCCCCTGTCCCCTCCCCCTGCTGCTCCAGAGTCTGACTTTGCTATCACTGCCCTCCACCACTCCTGGGAAGAAATGGGTGGGGTTTTTTTGGGTTTTTTTTTTTGTTTTTTTTTTTACGATTTTATTTATTTGTCAGAGGAAGAGTGAGAGAGAGTGAGCACAAGCAGGGGGAGAAGCAGGCTCCCCACTGAGCAGGGAACCCGATGCAGGACTGGATCCCAGAATCCTGGGATCATGACCTGAGCCAAAGGCAGACGCTTAACCGACTGAGCCACCCAGGCATCCTTTGGCATAAATGTTTTAAAAGTGACAATTGTTGACACTGAGTGCTCACTGCATGCGAGGTTCCCCACAATATATAGATCGATCTGTTGACCTATTGATCCATCCATCGATCTATATCTATATCTATATCAACTTACTTAATTATCCTAATTGCCCATTTTACAGATGAGATAACTGAAAGGAAGAGTGAAAAGAGACTTCTAAGGTCCACAGCTAGGAAGATCAAGGTCTGGATTTTAACCCAGAAGGCTGGGGCCAGACCATCATCATCGTACAGAGATCCAGGACATAACCTCTCTGTACGTGTAGGATGAGTGAATGACGAAGCTGATGGAGGAAGCCGCTGTGACTAAGACCCACTCACTATACGTCTCGGCCCTGGGCCTCACTTTACCTACCTGTTCAATGGAAGAGCTTGGACAAAACAATCTGGTTCTCCAAGCTCTGGAAGGAGCCTCTGCCTTTGCTGCCTCAGTTTCCTCATCTGTCATCCAAGGGAATGGGACATAGACCATTTCCTGGGCCTTTCCCAGGTCCACAGGCCCATACTGACAGTACCCTCCCTGTATTCTAGGCCTTGGGTCCAAGATTTCACCTGCAGAATCCCCCTAGTGCCCAGGAGACTGGTACTTCATTTGGCCCGACCTAGGGGGGAGAAGTTGGGGGTTAGGAAAGGAAAGGTGACCCGCTGGAGGCCAGCATGAGACAGAGCTGGGCCTGGAACCTGGTCTCTGACACCAAAGCTGTTTGGGACACTCAGCAGCCCTTTTCCTGGGATGAGCCCCCACTCTTGCCTTGGTGGGCGATCCAGGAGGGCGGGGCACTCCCAGCGAGTTCCCAGAGCCAGTAGCTGCCCTACTCTGCTCAGTCCCTCAGAAAATGGTTCTCTCCACCCACCGTGTGCACTGCCCCTTCTTTCGCTGGCTTTTCTCACTGGGCACTCCTCGGGGGCAGCTTTCCAAGGGAGAAACACCGTATTAGCTCCGAACCCTCAATCTGCCCATGTGTGCACCTCTGAGGACTGCCCTGGTCGACACCACTTGGGGGACACTCAGCCTCATTTTAGGGGTTTTTCCATTGTGTCTGGGGGAAAAATGTGACTCATGCAGAACCCAGTCTGCTGGGCTGCAGGCTCCCAGGGGTGGGCACCGGGCCGGGTCTCTGTGCAAAAGTACAGAAAGAACACCCTGAAGGCCCGCTCCTGGTGGGCTTGTTGCCGTGACTCCGACACAATGGCTGTGCAGGGACAGAGCCAGGTCACCCAGCAGCTGCCTGCGGAAAGGCCCGTGGCACCCGGATGGCTTTCAGTCTCAGTTCTGCCACCAGAGGCATCTTTTCCACGCTTTCCTTGAAAAACAAAAACAAGAGCAGAGACCCAAGCCTGCCTCTCTCTTACCTTGTCCATCTGTCAGTCTGGCTGTCGTCTGGCTGTCTATCCTCTCTGTATGTAAACTAGGAATTCTGGAGGGGAGAACTCTCTCCTACCGGATTGATTTTCCTTGGGGAGGGCCTGGAGCTTCCTGGAGGTGGGCTACCAGGGGTGTGTGTTGGGGTGCCGCGCAGTGTCTACACCCCAGAAGCTTGAGAATGAGCTGCTTCCTGGATGGGGGGGGGGGGGGGGGGGGGGGGCAAGGGGGGCCCTGGGTTTTTTCCCGCCAGGGGGGGAGGGAGTGGGGTGCTTCGGGGGGGGGGGGGGGGGCAGGGAGAGTGGCCAAGGTGGACCTCGGCTTCTTTCCGGCAGATGAGGAAGGCATTGGGGTGCGTGGGGGAATGAGGGTGGAGTTGGGAGTTGGGCTCTCCTCAGTCAACTGTCTCAGAGTCGCCCCCCTTCACCCTTGCGGAGGAATTTGTGAATGGAAGGGGCAGTGGAGGGGGGAGTGTGTGCGCTGCTAATCCCTCCACGGTCGCTTCCCACCCCCACCCCAACACACACACTTGTTGGGGGATTTAACCAACCCCAAACACTGAACTTTCCTACTCCTTACGATGTGGGGGGGGGAGGGGTGAAGGGAGGACACCCCTCCTTCCCCCTCTCCCCGCCCCCAGCCTCCCGCCGGACTCGGCGCGGGACCCCCTCCCCGCCCCCCGCAGCCGCAGGGTGGGGGCGGGCGAGGCGCGGCGCAGGGAGGAGGAGAGGCAGGGGCGAGGTCCGCTTCAAGAAGGGGCGTGCGGCCCGAGGAGCTCGCGTTTTAGCAACTTGGAGCGAGCGAGGCGGCCGAGGGGAGGGCGAAAGTTTGCTTCCCCGACGTCAGCGCCGGGCGGGCCGCGGCGGCCGGGGGGCGAGGAGGCGGCGGGCAGCGGGGCCCGAGCGCGGGGCGGCCGGGGCGCGCTCGCTCCGACCCGCGCCTGCCACCCGCGCCGGCGACGCCGGGGCCCTCGCGGGCATGGACAGCGCGGCCGCCGCCGCCTTCGCCCTGGACAAGCCGCCGCTGGGCCCGGGGCCGCCGCCGCCGCCGCCGCCCTCCGCGCTGGGGCCCGGCGACTGCGCCCAGGCGCGCAAGAACTTCACGGTGAGCCACCTCCTGGACCTGGAGGAGGTGGCGGCGGCCGGGCGGCTGGCGGTGCGCCCCGCGGCCAGGGCCGAGGCGCGGGAGGGCGCGGCGCGGGAGCCGTCCGGGGGCAGCAGCGGCAGCGAGGCGGCGCCGCAGGACGGTGAGTGCGGGCGCCGGGCGGGGCCGCGCCGGGGTCGCCGGGGCTCCGGGGGCGTGGGAACGGGAGCGCGGGGTCCGGGGCCGGCCGGTGGGGGGAGCTCGGGGTGGGGGGAGAGAGTCCCGGGGCGCGGGCGCGGCGCGGGACCGCTGGGTGGGGGAGGCTGCTGGGCTGGCCCCGCCGCGCCGCGGGACGGTGGAGGTCGTCTGACCGTGACCCGTGATCGCGTGGGCGGCGGGCACCAGGGCTCTCGACCCCCGGGGAGGGGCCCGGCCGCCTTTTGGCCAGAGCCACCGCCGCGAGTCGTGGGAACAGCGGGGAAGTGGGCCGCCTTTGTGCCCGGGTGGGGGGTGGGGGGACAGCCCTCGGGGCCGCGCTGCCGGATCGAGTCCCCTGGGAAGTGGGTGTGATTATATTGCCCCCGCACAGCTAGGGAAACCGAGTCTTGCGAGGGCCAGAGCATCCAAGTCACACAACTGGGTTCCGTCCGAACTCTGCCCGCCTGCCTCCCATCCCACCCCAGCTACTGCTAGGTCCTCGGATGGGTTCCTTGGCTAGGATAGGGATGCCGGGCCCCCATCTTCCAAGCCGAAGGAGCCAGCTAGGCCTCTCTCCTCTGCCGAGGTTAAAGGTCATCAGGAAAGGGCTTTAAAAACAAACAACCCACCCAAGTGGCTTTTTTTTCCCCCAGAAAAATCACACTGGATCACAGGGGCCTGAGTCCTTGGTGAGAAGGGGGAGGGGAGGAGGAGCCAGAGCAGGAGAAGATGAAGATAAAGCCGAGGTCCCAGGCCCTGGCTGGTTTCTGGGGGGGTCAGAGGAGTCCCGACAGCTCACCCACACCCTGTGGAGGAGATAGGATGGGTGACACCACAGTCCCCGCCCCTAGCTCCCAGGGAGCAGCCTGGCCTGAGGGAGGACCACTTCCCACTCCTGGGAACCCCCACTTCCTGCACCAGCCTCCAGGTCTCAGACAAGAGAGCGCCTGGCTGGCCACATGCCCTGCTTTTCACATGAGAGAAGGTGCAGGGAAAGCGGAGGTGACTTCAGCCTCATCTGAAACCTGGTCCAGGAGCACGTGCGGACGTGAGGCACGCCTGACACGCAGCTGTGCCTTGGTACCCAGCTGGTGCCAGCTGCGTCCGGTAGTTACTGGCACCCTCCCAGGGGCGCCCGCTGCCCACCAGCCACAGTGGACCGGCATCTCCAGGGTGAGCATGAAGCTGGCTGACCCACCCCCCGGGAGCTGGGGTTTCCCTGAGGGAAAAGCAGAAGGAAGGTGTCTGGTTTGGGGTTAGGTGGGGGGGCCTGCTGGTTCAGGAGGAGAGGGGCTCTGTCCCCCTGAGTTTCTTGCAGGACCTCGGATCTCCTGGGAGGAGCAGCTGGCTCAGAGCTGGCTTCCCCTAAGGGGAGAGGAGAGGGCTCTGGTGAATGCGGGACCCCCTTGGCAGTGGGCAGAGGAGGAGGAGCAAACTGAAGGCGAAGCCAAGAACGAAGGGAGAAAAGGAAAGGAGAGAAGAGAGGAGTGCGGCAGTAACAAGGGTGGAGGGAAGGAGGCACAGGCATTCTCTATACTCAAGTCCTAGCCAGGGGCTGGGTGCCTGTCTCCACCCTGGCCCCCAGCCGTGGGGAGAGACAGTGGAAGGCATTGCTTCTCTTGGACACAGCGGAGAAGATTTCCAAACCCAGGGTTTTTCTGGGGAGTTCCAGAACAGCTCATGCCAACTGGGGACATTAAGTGCCTGGACCGGGAGGGGGGGTCTCTGGCAGCCCCCCAGGCAGCTTGGTGGGTACTGGGCCTCCCCAGCAGCCCCCTGGGGCCTCGCCACTCTCAACTGAGCCCTGGAGGCCTGCAGGGCCTTTTTGGAGGTGGGGCTTCCACACCCCAGGGGTATGGCCAGTACTGGGGACAGAGAAGGCACTGGGTGTGGGGGCAGGTGGGATGGCGCTAGAGCAACATCCTCCATAGTTGGGCATCTCCTTCCCCTCACCAGTGAGTGACAAAGGGCTGAAGGCTCAAGGAGGGGCTCACGGCTGCCTCCTACCTGGGAACCCCCGCCCAGCGCTGCTTGGGGAAAGGCCATTTAGCTCAGTGCTTCCCCTGGCCCCCGGGGAGATTTTCCCCAGGCCTCTGGAAGCTGAAGCAAACAGGACAACAGGGAGAGTTCGTCAGGAAGCTACACCTTCCAGTGTAAAGGATTCTCTGTGTTTGGGATGGTTATATTGGGATCTTTCCTCCTCACTTTTGGTGTTTGAACATCTTTCTTTTATGAACTAGGGATAGTAACTGGAGATTGTTTGATTTTAATGTCCTTACTTGGCGAAATTAAAAGGCAGTAACCCTATACTCATTCCTTAGATTGAAAGCAAATCACTAGTCCGTGAAATCCAAATGTTTTATATAGAATCAAACATCTCCCCAAGGCCAGCCCCAAGCCGCATGCCAGGGGTGCCCGCTGCCAGGCAGAGTCCCAACCCCCCGAGAGGCAGGCAGGGCAGCGGAGACTGGGGCGCTGCGTGGCTGCTGCTGGTCTGGGAGAACCTCTCAGCTGGCCGTCTGGGTCTGGGCCTGCAGAGAGAGGACAGAAGTCAACTGCCCTGCTCTCCTTCCATAGCCTTCCCTCTCAGGCAGGTGCCCCCCGCCCACTAACACTCACCATGGATGCCGGAGTCTTGAGGTCTTCAAGAGGGGGAGAAGGAACTTTTCCTCCCCTCATCTCAGTGAGCCAGGCCTGCATCACTTGACCCCTTTCCTAAGTGGCCAACTAAACCTCTGGGTGCCAGGACTCTGGACCCCAGGCCAGCAGGCATGGGCTCTGGGCTGCGACTTCTACCCCCTAGTCCTGGGCCTGCGGGGAATGCTGGCGCCTGCTGGAGATCGGGACATGCTCAGAAGTGGGTTTTCGTGTGGCTTCTGGAGCTGTTTCTGGGCCCAAAGAAAGCAACTGACATCACAAAGAGATGGGGGACCCCGTATTAAAAATGAAGGGCCAGTGGGGAGACTCATGAGTTAAGAAAATTGATCCATTTTCAAATCTGCCAGGGTAGCAAGGTTCACGTTTTTAATTTTTTTTTATTATTTTTTGCTCTTTTGTTTTCCCAAAGCCACCAGTAGATGTACCCTATGCTTGCCAGTGATTTTCCCAGAGCAGGCACCCCCGGAACTGGCCGGGAAGGCTGTGGCTTCACTGGTGACTCAGAGCAAACCGGGGTCTAGCGTTCCTCCCAAATCAAATGCTGAAGTCTGCGGCCGGCGCTGAGCTATGCCAAGCACGTTAGGAAAATAAACCCTCGTTTGGTGCCTTTGCAATGACTTACAACAAAAGAAACCACATTAATAACTGAGATTTTCTTTAAAGCATTCCCTCCTGTGGGCAGGGCGGAAACAGGGATGCGGACACACTGGGAAAATAAACAAAGCTCCTGGGGCTGGGCGGGAGAGCCCCCCCCCGTCCCCCCCAGCCAGGGAGCCCTCCGCCCCCAGCCTCTGGAGGGCTGGTACCTGTTTCGGAGACCTCAGGACCAAGAGAGTCAGGGCAGCCCCGTGCTCGGAAGCTGGGGGCACAGGCTGAGCCAGGGTGACTAGAGCCCTGGGGTGGGCGGGGTGGAGATCTGGGGCTCCCTCCACAGAGCCGCTCCCTCAGCCACAGCTGCTAATGGGGGCCCAGGAAGCCGAGAGTGAGCCTGGTTTGGGGTGAGGACCTGCCCCTTCCCCTTGCCAGTGATGGGCGGGAAGGGCCGGTGTCTGAGCAGAGGACCTGAAGGGACCATCTAGGGCTCAGCAGAACTTGCCTCTAAGTTCTGAAAGCATTTATTGTGGTGAAATATATCCAATGGAAGGTTTACCCCTTGTACCATTTTTTAAGCACACGTTCAGGGGCATAAAGCACATTCACATTTTTGGGCAACCATCCGTAGCTTCTGTCTTCAGAACTTTCTCATCTTCCCTGAATAAAACTCTGCACCCATGAAACACCCACTGGGCATCCCCCTCCCTGCGCTTGGCACCCGCCCCTCTCCTGTCCGTCTCTGTGAATCCCACAACTCTGGGGACCTCATGGAAGGGAAGCTTGTGACATTCGTCCTTTGCTGTCTGGCTTATGTCACCTAGCATGACATTTTCCAAGTTCCTCCACGTGGCCGCCACTGTAAGGATCTCCTTCCTCTGGGGGGCTGAGGAATATTCCAGTGCCCTTGCGAGGGTGCGCGTGTGCGTTGTGCTCTCCATTCATCTGCTGCTGGACACCTGGGTGTTTCCACCTCTAGGCCGCCGTGACTAATGCCCGTGAACATGGGTGGGCAAATACCTCTTCCCATCCCTGCTTTCTGTTCTTCGGGGCTTGTGCCCAGAAGTGGAACGGCTCCTGGGTCATGTGGCAATTCTAGGTTTCATGTTGGGAGGAAGCGTCACATTGTTCCCCGCTGGCCACGGGGTTCAGCCACCTGCCTCCCCCAGCTCGCTGTGACAGGTGGCCGTGCAGCCCCTGGGCCAGTGATGGCAGGAGCCCGGGAAGCGGGCGGCCGGGACAGCACAGGCTGGTGGGGGAAAAAGACAAGAAGGGTTTCTTCCGCGAAGGGCTTTTTTTCTGATCGAACCTGCTCTTCTTCCCTCTTCTCTTGCTTCCCTGCCTCCATTTCCAGGGGGCAGGGAGAGGGTAAATCCTCCCCTTCCATGGGCGAGGAGCCCTGGCTTTTGCTGCCCCCTCCCTGCGTGACCTTTAGCATGTCACATCCATCCTCTGGGCTCAGTTCCCACCTGAACAGTGGGAGGCAGGACCCAGATGTTTGAGAGGCCTCTCCTGTCCTTCATCACGGTCTGATCAGGCTGAGAAAATGCCCCAGGAACATGGAGTCTCCAGGGTCTGGGTCCTGGCGAGGGCGGCCCTTGGCACCCGCCCTGAGCGGGAAGAGGAGGCTGAGAGAGAGGCTGAGGAACCAGGTCTGGAAGCTGCGAGCCCAGGGGAATTCAGCTGGAGAGAAGTGCCGGGTCCACCAGGGTGGCT